AGCTAGTCACCAAACAGGATTAGCTAGTATTACCACCTGTAGGACGTCCCTCTTTGAATGTAAACAGTGATACTGACAGAACAAGTGTGCAGGAAAGTTTTCACCCACACGTAGTAAGTACATGTGAATGTGAATCTGCTGCAAACTGAGAAAACAGTTCAAAGTAAAAATTAAAAAAAATTGTAAAAAGCCATTCACTGAATGCGAAGAAGTTAATCAACAAACACAAAATACTGCGTAGCTATCTCATGCAATCTAAGATCCATTTTAGCTCTCCAACCTTTGTGAGAGTGTAGAAGAATTTGCACACAGCATCAGATTCCTTTCATACTTTTTTACACATGCTTGCACTTACTATTGTATAATATTTATCGATATTCAAACCTCATATTACTTCAATAAGAGTTTCTGTCCTGATGCATGCTCAGTCATCCAGGCAAGGAAATCCCAAGAAGGGACGCAGCGTCATCCAATTGACTTCTTCAGTCTTAGCTGACTGCAAGTTTCCCCACCCTTATAAACAGTACCTTTGCACAATGACTGAAACTAGCACCAGTGGCGAACAAGGGGCTGTGAGGTCATTACTTCAGCAAGAGTAATAAACGTAGATCCAGTGGCAGCTTGCCTTACATGCTGGGCTTCCATAAGTTTACTATGAAAGACCAGAGGTTTATCCATACTGTGCATGCATAAACAAGAAAAAAAGCTTCTGGCTTCTCAGCTTGCCAAGCTTAAGTCATTGTTAATTGGAGATGGAAACACCAACAAAGCAGAGACAGCTACACTCTCCTATAAAATAAGTAGAGCTTTCATCTTATCCTGTCAGAATGTCATTGTTTTATATGTGAAGCAGACTAAATAAGGGTTATGTTTATATGTGCAGATTGTGATCCTCTAGTTAGGGTGATGTTGAAGCCTAGAAAAAAAGAGCCATGTATCAGTGTACTGGCAGTTTAGAAACAGTGCCATCGAGTGATCATAACACAAATATACTCCCATTTGTTTTTCATTTTTGTATGCCATTACATTGCATTTTTATTTTTAAAAAGCCACCGAAATACAACAGCAACAAAAACAAAACAGTTTACTTCATACTGAAATATTTAGATCATTCACAGTCCTGTGTATGATCTAAATGAATTGATGTTGTTAAAAAGAATTAAAGCTCCTAAAACAGAAGAATTTTCCATTCCCGCAAATGTAGAGAAGGAGCTGTAGAAACCCAGTTATTAAAAATAAGCTTATGCAAATGTTAAAGGCACTAGGAACATCAGCAATGAAACAATGCAATGGGAAAGGAGCAATTATAAAATTAGAATAATTGGCATGATTTTCATCATTCATCTCTTCAGTTTATTATTGTTCTTCAATAGAATAGCAATAGAATAGCATTACAAAGAACAAAAACACATTTTGAAAGAAAAAACCCACATAGACATGCAAAGAGTTTGAATATGTGTACATAGAGTACATGCAAGAAACAGAGGCAATCAGCCAAGCAAACAACTATGCACCACTCTCTACAAGCAACATAACAAGGTGGACAACAATAACATAACACTCAATATAGATTACGTCAGAAGACCAATGGCAAAATGAATGCTTTGAATCAGCCTAGTAATGTCAGTTTTACAAAAAGGATGTAGAATGAAGGAATAGAGACAAAATATATCTTAGCTATATCTTAGAAGAACATGGTGTCAAAGTGCCTCTGTCTCATTTTGATATTTGCCAAATAACATATACATATACATATAGACCCAGGATATTGTTGACTGCATTGTATGCATTCAGACTATCTAATTTAATTTGGCATGTCTGCAGAAACCCACGACCACTTGTAAGGTCTCTTTTAAGGTTTTACACTGCAGCACACAATAAACATGTCGTGCATACAACACTGCAATACTTACTATAGCAGTTAAGTTTGTAATAAGACCACAAATATTATTAGACTAAATGTGTACAGTGTAGCATTTGATAACACTTCTAGAGTAGTGTGATGACTGATTGCCTCTAACGCTTGAACATTTGCATATGGGGGTATGGCCGTGCTTCATGTCTGCATGTGTGAGGTCAAGAAATGGCTTTTGGCAAATACTCTTATCCTCAATGATAAGAAAACTGAAATTATGATTTTTGGTAGTAATGCCCTTCGTGCCAAACTTCGGGATGCCTTTGGTTTTCTCACTAGTTCTTTCTCTGACACTGTTAGGAATCTGGGTGTCTTATTTGACAGCTCATTTAAACTTGATAAACAAGTGTCTGCTGTTGTCAGATCCAGTTTTTACCAGCTTCGCCTTATTTCTAAGACCAGGCACTATATCCCGTATAAAGACCTAGAAAAGCTCATCCACGCCTTTGTAACGTCAAGGCTTGATTACTGCAATTCACTTTATTGTGGTCTCCACTCTTCCCTTTTACATAGATTACAGACAGTTCAGAATGCTGCAGCACGCATTCTAACTAAAACCAAGAAGTTTGCCCACATTACTCCTGTCCTTGCTGATCTGCACTGGCTGCCTGTCAAATATCGTATTCAATTTAAAATTTTGTTGTTTACTTTTAAAATTACCAATAACACTGCACCAAGCTATCTTAAGGAACTTTTAAACCCATATGCTCCTGCTAGTGTCACAGTCTGCGGAGGCAGACCGTGCGGAAGGGTGTGTGGTGGACCCAGGTGCGAACACAAACGAGGATGCAGGAGTGGATTCCAACAAAACGAGCCTTTTATTATGGCTGATGAAAAGAACAAAAACAGAATGAGGGCAGCATACGTGTAGTACTCAACAGAAAACCTAAACTGGACAAAACTAAGGAAAGACTATGGCTGGAGGTACAGAACACAGGAGGTGGTAACACAGACGACGCGACACGGACTACATGAAACACAGAGACTAAATACACAAGAGGGATGATCAGGGGAAGTGGCCACACATGGGAACACAGCTGACACAGATAAACATAACAAGACATGGCAGGAGTAAACAACACTGACGGGAGACTGTCAAAGTAAAACAGGAAGTACACAGGTGCAAACAGGAGGAGAGAGAGAGAGAGCACGGGCATAGTGGGCTGGGGAAACATGGAATGAAACGAGGAGGGGAGATGAGGGCTCACAGATACACAGAGGGGCACACAGGGGGTAAAAGCCATGAAGGGAAAACACTTAAGGAACAACACAACAGGGCAACTCAGAAAACATGGCCTAAATAAGGAACAAAATACAAACATACAAGAAAACTAAGAACACTGGGCCAACTTTGCCCAGGACCATGACAGCTAGGGCTTTAAGGTCATCCTCACAGTTACTGTTGGTTCAGCCCAGATCTCGACTGAAATCTAGAGGTGATCGATCGTTTGCTCTAGTTGCACCGGAGCTGTGGAACAATCTCCCGATTGGCATCCGGGCGTCTGATTCTATGCATTCTTTTAAATCACGGCTAAAAACATATCTTTTTAAACTTGCCTTTTCTACCAGTTAAATGCTGGCTTGCTTGCAGTGACCTATTGACCTATTGTATTGTATTGTATTAAATTCTCTGCTATCTTTCCATTATTGGTGTCTTTTATCATGGTGGTACAGTCTTACCTTGCTATAACCTATGTGCTGCAGTTTACTCTTATTGGTGGCTTTTATCTGTGAACATAATCCGTTACTTTTATGTATTTGATGTTAATGTGTGAACTGTTTTATTTTTTATTGTTTTATGTAAAGCACTTTGGTATGCCCAAGGCTTTTAAATGTGCTCTATAAATAAAGATTGTTGTTGTTGTTGTTGTTGTTTTGTTGTACCTTTGGGTAATTTGTCATGCAAATCATCTAAGCAAATTGAATGCGTGTCCTATGACCCAAATTGGAAGTTAAAGGTAATAGCTTAAAAAAATATACAGTGAACAATAAAGGTAATCATTATTATTAAATGAGAAAGTTTATCTTTCTTTTTTTCCCTCTGCTGATAAGGTTCTCCTGCCACTCAGATCCTTGACCAGAAAAAGCCAAAGAGAGCATCAGAAAGAAAAGAGGAAAAAGAAATAGGCTTTTTGTTTACTGAATGAGGTCCCTGTAAACCACATGAAAAAACTGCTGTAAGAGATGTTGTATAATGCAACATATTAATTAATTTCCTCTCAAAACATTATTATTTATGTAATTAATGTTATCTAAGAGGACATTACAAATGACTTGCATATTGTTCGAAATGAAAACAAATACTTCATTCGTTTCTAAAATGGTACTTCAGTTGTTAGCATCCTTTGATGCTAGATTAACTGGTTTGACTGGTTAGATTTACTGGAAAACAGAGAAAACAAAAGTGTCCATTTGAAATTCCATGAGCAGATGATAAATTATTATAAGAAGATATTAGAAAACAAAATCACAAACACACAGAAACAAAACAATAACAAAGACACAGCACTTTCGCTAAATATAATGTAAAATTGATTGTTTTTAAGTACAGCAATGAATACCAAATAATAATAAAAGCTGTTATAACATAAAATGTAGCACATGCTATGCTTAGGACACGTGTATCTGTCTTTTTTAATGACTGACAGACTGCCCCTAATATTAGCAAATGACAAATTCAGATTTTTTTTATTATTATTATCTAACCCTAGTATTTTTTTCTAAGCAAATATTTGTAGATTTATAGCATTTCTACATTTAATACATTAATTCTAGAAAGTTTTACCTTAAAACGCATTTATAATTCAAAGTAATTTAACGTCCCGTGCTGACCAGTGGTTCAATTTCTTACTTTGCAGGAGTGATTTTGAGATGTATCCATGACTCCAGTGATATCAGTTTACATGTGCAAAAGATAGATCACCTTCTGACCAGACTAAGCCAGAGGAAAGATTGTGGCTGGGTGTGGTCAGAGATAATTTGACCCCGTTGCCCCAAACTTGGTCCACATTTGTTGAAAACAGGCAACTGTTTACTACGAAGTTTTCCTGGTGTAAATTTTGTTGTTGTATCCTGTGTATTTTGCTAGTACAACTGGTAGTATATTGTATTTTGCAATGTATGTCATTATTATTTACATATTGTATCGGTGTAAATTCTTTACTGGTAATGGGTAATTTTTGCACTTTTTAGTTAATAAGGCTGTTTTAGCTGGCAGAGGGTAACTGAGGAACCTACACCAAAGCCAGCATACAAAGGCTCGGTAAACTGAGCTTTGAATCTGTGGATAGGTGTCATAGTGCCTGACACTGAGTAAAAGGCCACTGTGTTTCCAGGATAATCTAGGTACACACCAATGCGTGTAGCCCTACCAGCACCAGGAAGGTCTCTGTCTACTTTGTTGTGCCAGGCAGAGTAACCAGAGTCTGAGCAAAGGAGACTCCAAGACTTGTCATTGTAGCCAAGCAGGCTGTGTGAATTCTTCCCTTTACGGCTGATGCTCCTGTAAGCCACCCCTATGGAAAATTCTCCACTCCATTCAGCTTCCCAGTAAAACCTGAAACCAGTGAGAGGCTCCTTGCACAGAACTTGGGAGTAGCCATCAAAGCGATCTGGATGATCTGGGTAAAACTGGGTTGTTTTCTTCCGGGTGACCTTCTGATTCCCATCTGTCAAAACCAGCTCTTTATAAACTGTGTTAAGATCAAAGGACAGCTTGCAGGCATCTGAAAACACAGCCACAACATACATTTATAAATGTTTTCTGTTTAGATAACATTAAAATGTTGCTCTTGAGTACTAATTCTGAACCATAAAATTTACTTACATCTCAAGAAGTCTGTTCTGTTTTTTGGCTCCTGAAAATCTACATTCGAAGGAACTGTTTAAATATAAAAACATAACATATGTTATAAAATGTGCAACAATATTATGTTTAAAAAAAATTGCCAGCCATGTACAAAATAGCACGAATGAAATTATTCAGCTCACTTACCTTTGAGTCGTTTGCTTCCATTTCTTGGCAACAATATGTACACGGGAGTTTCGCTCACTGTAAAAATATAAATTCAAGTATATATGGATTGCAGCAAAAACTAGTGAGCCAGTAAAAGGTAATTGAAGTGTTAACAATGACTACTGGAACAAACCTGTCTTGGAGAGTTTACCCATTTCCTTTTTACAGATGTCATCCAGATTTTCTTTCATGTCACTGGCCGTTCTGCTCATCTCTCCAAAGGAGAACTGAGGGTTAATTAGCACTTTGGGGACCATGGCCTCAGGAGCAACACACAGGGTTGGGAAACTCTGTTTTTTATCGAGAAAAAGAAGTGTAACGATTTTTTACTAAAAACATAAATATATACATAAAGAAGTCGTGGTGTTGTTTTGTGTTAGTCAGTGTAACGAGGTAGCAAGAAATGCTGAGCATGCTATAGCAACAGGCGCTGGAAGTGATAAGTACATTAACTGTTTTTTCTGTGCTACATTACAAAGCAAGAAAGACAGAGATGAATTATTGTAGCTCTGGCTGATTTTCCAGTACCTGCAGGAAGTAAATGTTGTCCTCCGTCTCGAGGATCTGCCGTAATTCTGCATCTTGACGTTGTAGCTCCATTATCTCCTGCTCCAGACGATCCACATAGCCTTCAGCCTGTGACATTGCTGATTGCATGTTGGCCATTATCATCTGATTGATTTCAGACTTCCAGCGTTCAACTGCCTGCAGCATTTCATGGAAGGTCTTGTCACTTTCTGCCTGTGCTCGCTGGGCTGCACTCTGAAAGGTAAAGACAGTTTTTTCCAGGAGCTTTTAGTTACAATAGTCATCCTTGATATTACCACTGGATTCCTTTATATAGTGGTATTAACATGTAACAGTTCTGTAAAAAAAAAAATGAGACCATGTCAAATTTACTATGAAGAAAAGTAATTTATGTTGGACCAGGCTATGATCTTACTTTTAGAACATCAATATTATGCTTAAGTTCCTGGAGCTCCTTCATCCTCTCTTGAATGATGTTCTGGACTTCAGTTTGGGTGACCACCAGGACTTTCTGATAAAAGACAAGAATACAGGATTTTATCACTCTAGAGCAGGGGTCTCAATCTTTTGGCCCGGGGGCCACTTGCGGCCCGCGTCACCCCTACTTGTGGCCCGTATATTGACGTGAAGAAATATAATGCAATTTGGCCTTTGAAGTTACTTTTATCATTAGGGAGGATTTGTATGTTGTTAAGCGTAATGTTAAAATAAGGTATTCAAAGGGCAAAAAATGATTTAATATGAAGGCAATATAAGCAGAGAGTGCAAACATGTTGAGGGATTGGCTGTGTTAGTTCAGTGAGAGAGTTATTTGTAAAGAAAACAATTTTCAAAAGCAGTTAAAACTAAAGTGTACACTTGTGTCTGCATTTTTATTTTGTTAAATATGAACAAAATTATAGCAGAAATGCTGCCATGTGTCAATGAAAGGCTTCAGTTAGTTAAGAGCGAGAAAACAATTTGCGGTCTTGTTTGCAGTTTTGTCTTGTTATACAATATTTGAAATTTTGAAAAAAATAAAAGACTACATATTTGTCAGTGTTTTCTTCTTTGTTTTTTTGTTTTTGTACTTCTCAAACACTAAAGCGGCCCTCCAATGAGATGACAGTGACAGCAGTGACCCACAGCTCATTTGAGACTCCTGCTCTAGACTCCAGAATGACTCTTTTCATCATCTAATGTATGCAAAAACTGATGAAAACGTCATATCAAAATAAAAAGAGTATTAAAAGATTTTGAGATAGACTCAGCAATAACAACAATAAAAAAAAACCTCACTTGTTTCTCATTGCGTTCGTCTTCTGCCGAGGTAATGTTGTGGCTGCGGTGCTCTCTGACAGTACACAGCACACAAATACACATCTGGTCAGTGCGACAGAACAGCTCCAAACCTTTCTCGTGTTGTGGGCAAATCTTTCTGTCCAGATGACCCATCTCATCTACGAGTTTGTGCCGCTTGAAGGTAGATGACTCATAATGAGGCTTGACATGTGTTTCACAGTAGTATGCCAAACACATCAGACAAGACTTGACGGCTTTGTTGCGACGGCCAATGCAGAAGTCACAGTAGACTTCACGATTCAAGTAGGGGAAAGGAGTAAGCTCTGGAAGCCCTCGTTGTGGCTCATGGTATACATCTAGCAGGTTTCGCTTCAGGACAGGCCGAGGTGTGAATGTTGCACGGCACTGTGGGCAGCTGTACACACCAATGTGGTCGAACTGATCCCAGTAAATCTTGATGCACTCCAGGCAGAAAGTGTCACCACAGGGGATAGTGACTGGATCTCTCACTGTGTCCGCACATAGAAGACAGAAAGCCTCTGGTGGTAATGGGAACCCAGAATCAGCCATAATGCTCAATAAGATCAATATGGAAAATTATTAAGAATTCTTTGTGTTGACTAGAAGTCCATCAAATATTGGACTGGTAAGTCCAGTGTTGTCAGTCAGAATGATGTCCAGAAAACGTCCATCCAGATAACCTGCTGTGATCCTACCGCTCTTCAAACCAGATACTGCTGCTTTCTGCTGACATTTAAAGGGAAGGCTTTGTTTCTACAGTAAACAACCTGATAATGTCTTCCCACACAACACCTTTCCCAGCATGAGTGAAATCACTCTGGTCTTCACTATACACTGGAATTGGCCTACCAAGCAGGGATTTCAGGTCACACAGTGAGGTCAAGTTGTCAGCAAAATAAACTTTACCGTTGGCTATCTGTCACGGTTCTGGGTCTTTCTGACCCAGCTTTTTGAGTTCAAAACATAAGAACAAGAAGTTCTTGTTCTTATGTTTTGAGTCCTTTGTTGTACTGTTTCTTATTTCCCTAGGTTTCAGTTATGGTCATCATAGTTTAGTTCTTAGGTTTTGTAATATGGCTTCCCTGTGTTCCATGTTGTGTCTACTGTGACTTTTTGTACCATGTTTCGGGTTCCTATGTTCTGTCTCCCCAGTTGCTGTTAAGTTTACGTGTCTAGAGTTCAGTCAGTGTGTTTCCTGTTTTCCTTTGAAGGTCCGTGTATCATGTCAGTGTTTCTAGTTTTGCTTCCCTTTTCTCGTCTAGCCTGATTACTCCCAGCTGTGCTCTTCTTCTGTCTTTCATTCCCTTGTTATCCCTCAGTGTATTTAAGCCCTGTGTTTCTCTTTTTCAGTGTCGTAGTCTCCCTCATAGCTCTGTGATTTTCCCTGTGGCTCCTTGTGCTAAAAACGAGCCTCGGAAGTTCTAACATCCTCAATTAAAATGGTTTAATTAAATCAATAGGCTTAGTCAAATTTCCAAATATTTACTGCTGCCCTAATTTCATTCTTTTGTCAAACTTACATGTTTCAGACCAAATCATTTTAATATTGGAAAAAAACAACCAGATTACATGTAAAATTCAGTTTTCAATAGCTCTACATGAAACATTTATTGCTTCTGAAACCTAATAACTGGTTATACCACCTTGGCAGCAAGAAAGTGCAATCATGAGTTTGTGATAACTGGCAATGAGTCTTTCACTTTGGTGTGGAGGACAAAGAGAAGTTAAAGACAAAGCTAAAATAAAAATCACACATGTCAGGATCTGTAGAACCTCAACAACAGATGAGACCAAACTCACTGACAGCTGTCCATCTGGAAAGGTTTTCTAGGCCACTTCTAAACCTTGTGCATGGTGACGCATGGACAAATGTGTCACTGTGGAGAGACGGTGAGAGCCACCATCCACAAATGAAGAAAACAGTAGCAAAGCCCCCCAGGAGTGACTGGCCTACAAAAAGTACTCCAAGAACACGTCAATGAATCATCTGACTGGACGAAAAAAATTATCCATGGGAAAGTCTCCACTGACCAAAGAACTCATTTGAGACTTGAGACCTTTGTCTCAGATCATTAAACAAAACATGTAAAGTCCTTGCACCTTTTCCATTTGACTGAGCACTGAGTTTCATGATGGTGTGTGATGTCAAAACAGTTTTCTCTGTTATTGCTGTGAACAAAATACAAAACGTGGGTTCCCACATGCCTCCATTGGCACGTCAACAAAAAGGTGAAAAGAAAACAAAAACAGTGCTGACATAACAATATATTAATCTTTAATTTTTACATCATTATTGTAAAAAATATATATAAATATGTAAGATTGGGGCCTTTTTATTTGAATTTGAATATGTTTTCTCTTCCCCCTGTGTGTACGTTATGTCTGTGTACACTATCCTCCTCCCACAGTTTGTAGACATCCATGCAAGCCAAATAGTAATTATAAATTGGCCAAGCATGTGAGAATGCATGTGTGTGTGTGTGTATCTGTGTTAGCCTGTCTAACCAAGCACTGCCTAACATAGTTAAGGCTATAGGCATGCCTATAGCTAGGATAAACCCAGCCTGCCTGTGAAACACTAAGAACAATGACTGAAATAAAATTAAACCTTGAAGTTATGGGATATCTCCAAGTGGCCAAAACGCGCAGCACCGAACTCTTATCAACACGTCTCCTGCCCCACCAGAGGTGAAAGGACACTGGACCACTGCTACACTACGGTCAAGGACGGCTAGAAGGCACAACCCCGCCCACCGTTTGGCAAATCTGATCACGCCGCCATCTTCCTCATGCCAAAATACAAACAAAGGCTGAAACAGGAAGTTCCGGTTCAGAGGAAGGTCGCGCGCTGGACGGATCAATCGGTGGCCGC